TCTTTTATGTGGAATCTTCAAACAAACAAAAGCTAAGGTCATAGATACAGAGAACAGATTGGTAGCTGGCCAGAGGTAGGGGTTGGGGGAGGGAGAAATTAGCTGTTTTGGCAAAAGTTAATAATATTTATTTTTCTTAAATACTTAAAAAAAACATATACTGACATGATTACACCTTTCTGTCCCACTTAAACTGTTAATATAAATAATGATAATAATAGAGTTCTGTAGTATAATACAAGAGGTATATAAGGTTTTTGTCCCCACTCTTGGCACAGAGCTCCTGAGACCCTTGGAATTTCCTGATTGTTAGGAGTACCTTTTATTCGTAAAAGCTCCTTTGGATCACACCCTAGTTTACGCTAATGAAGTGACTTAGGATGGAGTCCCTAGAGCATCTCAGGATGGAGCTGGTCGCCAGAAAGACCAAGTGATTAGAGGTTTGAACTTTCAGCCCTACTCACCGACCTCCTGCAAGGAGTGAGGGGGCTGGAGACTGAGCTTTATAAAAACTCTTGAACAAGGGGATATTCAGTAAGCTTCTGGGACGGTGAGCATTTCTGTCCAGGTGCTGGGGAGGCGGCACACCTGGAGAGGGTTTGGAAGCTCTGCTGCATACCTTCCTCCCCATCCCTTGCCCTGTGCATCTCTTCCGTTTGTCTGTTTCTGAGTTGTATGCTTTATAATGAACTGGAAAACATAAGTAAAGAGTGTTCCTGAGTTCTTTGAGCCATCCTAGTAAGTTATTGAACCTGAGGAGGGGTTTGTGGGAATCCCTATTTATAGCTGGCTGGAAACTTGTAACTACCAAGTGGGGAACAGTCTTGTGGGACTGACCCCTTACTTAAGCTGTGGGATATAGCTCTTATGAAGTAGATTACAAAACTTAGACCAATTCTGGCTTAAAAATTATCTCTGACTTTTATCAAAAGAGTGTACGCACACGGTGGAAGACTTTTTAAAGTAATTTCTTGGCAGAGTGTGTTTGTGGAATTAAATTTTCTGAGTCCGTGCGTGTCTGGAAATGTCTTTATTCTACCTGCAGTTGATCAGGAATGTAGACGGGAGTAGAGTTCTGGATTAAAATTTCCCTCAAAAGTCTGTAAGGCAGGGCTTCCCTGGTGGCGCAGTGGTTGAGAGTTCCCCTGCCGGGGACACGGGTTCGTGCCCCGGTCCGGGAGGATCCCACATGCCGCGGAGCGGCTGGGCCTGTGAGCCATGGCCGCTGAGCCTGTGCGTCCGGAGCCTGTGCTCCGCACCGGGAGAGGTCACAACAGTGATAGGCCCGCGTACCGCAAAAAAAAAAGTCTGAAGGCATTGTTCATAGCCTTCTAGCGTCCAGTACTGTGGAGACATCTGCTGCCGGTATGGTTCTTATTCCTTTATAGGAAGGGTGGCTATACATCCTGGTTTGTCTGGAATACCTTCAAATTTATCTTACACTAGTACATGCTTTTATTCCCCAAAATATCCTTCTTTGTTGATTAATTATAGACCCACCTTATTTGTAAGTGACCTGGTTTTTGTTTTTTGGAAGCTTTTAGGGTATTCTTATACCTGGTGCTCTGAGAATTCACAAGGCTGTGTTGAGAGTTCAGTTAATTTTTTTCCCCCCATTCATCCGCTCAGTACTCAGCAGGCCCTTTCAATTTGAAGACTAGTGTTCATCAGCTCTGCGATATCTTATCGCAGAATACTTCAGTAATTTTTACCTCTTCATTTTTCTAAAACTCCTTTTAGTGGAACTTGGTCTTTGGGATTAATTTGACACCCAATTAGAAAAACAAAAACTTTTTAACCTCCTGTTCTCTACTTCATTGCTTTTGCTTTCCTTTCTGGGAAAATACTCCCAACCTCATTTTCTAATACATCTATTGACTTTTATTTTCAGGTGTTATTAACTTCCAAGAGCTTTTTCTTATTTTCAGTCCTTCTGTATACCATAATATTCTTGTTTCATCAACAAGATGGTCTCTTTTATCCCTTTGAGAATATTAATTACATACGCATATTTAAAGTGTTTCCTACATTGTCTATCTCCATTTCATACCACCCTCACACACACTTTTTGTTTTCATCTCTCACTGTGATTTTTTTCCCTCAAATATCTGGTGATCTAGAGCTTTATCTTCTGTCTGGATTTTTGGTTCTGATACATCTTCCTGTTTCTAGTTTTTTTCCATCAATACATTCTAAACATTGGCACTAGATTTAACAGTATGAAACAGATCTGATTATCCCATTCACTTGCATAAAAATCTGAATGGGTCTTCAGAGATCTGGATAATGTCTAAACCACTTAGCGTGGCACACAGGGCAGTGGCAGTGAGGTACAGTGTTTTCTAGAGCTGCTGTCATGCCACAAACTTGGTGGCTTAAAACAACAGGAATTTATTCTCATAGTTAACAGAAGCTAAAAGTTTGAATCAGCATTACTGGGCTGAAATCAAGGTGTTGCCAGGGCTGAGCTCCCTCCTTCTAGAGAAGAAGCTGTGCCCGCCTCTTCTAGCTCTTCTAGCCTCTTCAGCTTCTGGGACTGCTGCAGTCCGTTGCTCCACTCGAGGCTTCTAGGCCAGCGTCTTCAAATCTCTTTGCTTCATCTTCACTGTGTATGTCAAATCTAGTGCTTCTGTCTTACAGGGACACTTCTGATGGCATTTAGGGCCCACTGGGTAATCGACGATTGTCTCCCCATCTCAAAAGCCTTAATTTAATAACACCTGCAAAGACCCATTTTCCAAATAAGGTAACATTTACAGGTTCCAGGGATTAGGACCTGATACCTTTGAGGTCGTTAATCAGCCTACAACAAATACTTAGAGTTTTCTTAAATTGCCCTTTTCTTAAATACCTCTGCTTTTCCAAATACTATTACTGCCTGCAGTTTCTTCTCTTCTTGCCTCCTTGGCCAAAAATGAATGGATCATTAAATCTTTGTTGAAGAGATTCAACAGTTATTGAGGGTCAATTGAATACTAGGACTTGTCATATTAGAAAACAAAACAAGGTAAAGTAAGCATGCACCTGTGTCAAACCTTCTCCAGGGCAAATTACTCAGAAGGGATTCACTAAGTCATAGGAATTTACATTTTTAGCTTTTGCTGCCAAATTGCTCTCCAAAGCGGCTGCACTTCCCCTAATAATGCCAAGAGCAATCTTGTTTCCTATATCCTTGCCAATACTTGTGATTTTTTTTTCATTAAAAGAAATCGGATAGGGGAAAATTATATTGTTTTAATTTGCATTTCCTGGATAACTAGTGATGTTGACCTGTTTTTTCAAAGTTAATAGGCGTTTGGATTTTTTCTCTGAATGTACATAGCCCATTTTTTCTATTGCGTTGCCTTCTATTTATAGAAATTCGACAAATATGGATATGTATTGTTCATATATGTTGTTGCTGTCTTCACTTACATAATGAGTAAACTGGCACAAGAAATAAGTAAATTGATAAGATGCCCCCCTCACTCCCCATGGACAGATGGATAGATGAATGAAGAAATGAATGAATGTGTCTAGAATCATAGCTATTAAAAAACAGAGCCGGGATTTTGGACCCACATATATCTGGTTTTAACGCCTGTCCCTTTTAAAGTACATCTGGCTGCCTTGTAGCGAATGAGGAAATTAATAGTGAGGCAGTGGTGTGCTGAATTTTGACTCAAAATACTTAACCATTACTTACTAGCTCTGTGAGTTTGGGCTGATGTTAATATATTTTTTTAAGTAACTGTAGTGATTCCTAACCTATCTGCTTTGAAAGTGATTGAGAAAATCATTGAGATGATATACAAAAGTATGGTATATACAGTGAAATACTATTATAAAACTTAACTAATTCTCCTTGACCATCGTAACAGTGAGTGAAAAAACTCAACATACTTTATAAAAGTTTTGGATCTACCTTTTTTAAAAAGGTAGACTTTATTTTTTGAGTAGTTTCAAGTTCACAACAAAATTGAGCAGAAGGTAGTGAGATTTCCCATGTATCCCCTGTTCTCCCATATGCACAGCCTCCCCCGGTTTCAGCGTCCTGCACCAGAATGGTACATTTATTACAATCGATGAACCTACATTGACGCATTGTTATCACGCACAGTCCTCAGTTTACATTAGAGGTCACTCTTGGTGTTGTACGTTCCATGGATTTTGACAAATATGTAATGTCGTATATCTACCATTATAGTATCGTACAGAGTAGTTCCACTGCTCTGAAAATCCTCTCTGCGCGTTCATCCCTTCTTTCTCCTTAACCCTAGGCAACATTTTGCTGTCTCAGTAGTCCCAATCCTGTCTCCGTAGCTTTGCCTTATCCAGAATGTCATATAGTTGGAATCATATAGTATGTAACCTTTCAGATTGACTTCTTTCACTTAGTAATCTCCATTTGAGTTTCCTCTATCTTTTCATGGCTTAATGGCTCATTTCTTTTTAGTGCTGAATAACATTCCATTGCCTCGATGTAGCAGTTACACATTCACTTGCTGAAGGACATCTTGGTTACTTCCAAATTTTGGCATTTACAAATAAAGCTGCTATAAACAGTTGTGTGCAGCTTTTTTGTCTAGACATACATTTTCAACTCATTTGAGTAAATACCAAGGAGATCAGTTGCCGGATCATACGGTAAGAGTATGTTTAGTTTTGTAAGAAACTGCTAAACTGTCACCCAAAGTGGCTGTACCATTCTGCATTCCCACCAGCAGTGAATGAGAGTTCCTGTTGCTCTGCATTCTTGTAGCATTTAGTGATGTTAGTATTTTGGATTTTGGTTATACTAATAGGTGTGTAGTGGTATATACAACATGATTTTTTGGTAAAAGTTTACACGATAAAATGTCATTTGCTAGTATAATAGATGATGTTTCCAGAAAAACTCAACAGAAATTTTCCCGTGAGGTTTGGAGATAGAGATATCTCCAGGAAAAGGTTGATATTTGGCTCTATGATTAACCAGATGAGGAGTAGTAATGCTTGCCTTCATGTGTTTGTTTTGACAGGTATTGAAACAAAAGCACATATTTGAAGGCACTAGTACCTCCTACCATTGTCAACTGGTAAAATGTTTAATTTTATTTAACTACAAAGTTTCTATTATTAGGTGTAAAATGTATTAAGTTAAAACCAAGTGTGGGTAAACTGTCAAAGAAAAAATTATTTTCTCTCCATTTTGTGATTGTAGAATTATGAAAGTTATGAGAAAGTAGCTTTTACACTAATTTTAATTCCATGTAAGCCCATTGGAACGTTGAGCCATGTTATTCAGCAATATTATTGATATTTAACCTTCCTTTCCTCAATTTGAATATCACTAAGCATCTCTGCAAAAGTTTGAACCTCAGTATCCTCTTTATTTGGCAAAGTTTAGCACTAATTAGACTGGTAGCACCATGTCAACACGTGATGGTCCTTTGAAATTTGTGTTTTATTTAAAATTTCAAACTGGACATTTTAACAGAAATTGTAGGTTGAAGGCCAGTAAAACAGTGGATTTTCTGTTGTTGTTTTTTGTTTGTTTTTTAACATCTTTATTGGAGTATAACTGCTTTACAATGGTGTGTTAGTTTCTGCTGTAGAACAAAGTGAATCAGCTGTACATAAACAATATCCCTATATCTTCTCCCTCTTGCATCTCCCTCCCATCCTCCCTATCCTACCCCTCTAGGTGGACACAAAGCATCTAGCTGATCTCCTTGTGCTATGTGGCTGCTTCGCACTAGCTATCTGTTTTACGTTTGGTAGTGTATATATGGCCATGCCACTCTAGTCTCTAGGTCCATCCACCTCACTACAGATAACTCAATTTCGTTTCTGTTCATGGCTGAGTAATATTCCATTGTATATATGTGCCGCATCTTCTTTATCCATTCATCTGTCGATGGACACTTAGGTTGCTTCCATGTCCTGGCTATTGTAAATAGAGCTGCAGTGAACATTGTGGTGCATGACTCTTTTTGAATTATGGTTTTCTCATGGTATATGCCCAGTAGTGGGATTGCTGGGTCATATGGTAGCTCTATTTTTAGTTTTTTAAGGAACTTCCATACTGTTCTCCAT